ACATTGGTAAATGGTGGCAGGTACAATTACTTGATGGTAAAAAACTGATGTGAAGAAATTGTTGACAATCTCATGTCAATGGATCGTTGAGTTTAGAAATAATATTATGTTGATTGCAAGTTTTCAACACATGAATTTTGTCCGCCTTTTTGGCTAGAGCATTCAAGAGGATGAACTGGTATTGGTATTTGAATACTTAGAAAACGAAAGCATAAAAATTCATCAATGTGGTTAGTGTATCTTAGTATTTTTTTGTGACCGATTTATAGGTGGGGGCCAAAGCTCATTTGAGCTGATTTCCATAAGAGATTTGAAGTTACAAAGGAATTGCTCGGGGCCGTATACTTCCCTAGACCATTATGTTTCTTCCAGTTAGGTACACGTTTAACTATTATGCTAATTTTAGGAAGAATCAGATAATGTCTTAAACATAATTTTTTTTTGGATTAAAGCATTCAATTGGTGAACAACCATCCACACCGATGCGACTTGTTCGTCTAATAGACAAAGTGATGAAAAACCAACTCAATTTCATACGAGGTTTAGGAAGCAAGCGTTTTGAGGAAAATCGTTTATTTTTTGAAAAAGAAAAATTATAAAATCTTGTTTTCTTGTTTACCACTAGAACATATTAAGAATATTAAATCTCAATTTTTTTAATGTTTAAAAAAAAAGATACTGTTTTTTTGGTTTGAATAAAATTTTATATTCAATTAAAAAAAACAGTCAATTGGTAAATCCATCCATAAAAGATATACATGCTACCTAAATTTGCTAGTGACCAAAGGCCAACCAAAGTCTATAAAATATATGTTGAATATGATCACACGAGCGGGTGGTTAGGATGGAAGGGGAAGATGTCCCCCAACCCGACATAATAGGGTAATGTCTATACTAAGCACAATTTAAACTTTTAATTTTTTTTATTTGGGCGCAAATATGCAAGTCCGATTAGTTTATGGCCGGTTTAAAATTATATTTTTATACTTATGTAATTATGTTCACTCCTCTTTCAGTTGTATTCTGAATAATTGATTTTCTATTATCAATTTAATTTGATCTCGATTGTCCATGGACATAACCAATACATTGTAGCTAAACTACGTAAA